GTAGAAAATTGCTTTGCTCTCAGTTTGATTAACTCTGGCAATCCAAGGTTTTTCAAACCACAGTGTATAAATTACCACTGCTTCCTCATAGCTTGGATTTCCACTGCTATATTGCACTGAGTAACACAGATTATTTTGCTGGAGAGGCAGGGGGGAAGGGGCCAGCCTGGTAAATACTTGTCACCTTGTTACCCAAGAGTCACTGAATTTTTTTCAGTTTAAATTAATATTTGCCATCTTAAGCAAGACAAGCTCTGACTCCTTTGGGAAGGTTTTGGTCACTGTACAGTATATTCTTTTTAGTAAATTAAAGCACTGCCAAAACAAACAGTTAAAAAAAATAACCTAAGAAAGTAAATGGTGCAGTTTGTTTCTCTCCATCTGGTTAGCTGTTTTGAAGGTCATAAAATGGGGGTACCCTGTCCTCTGGTGGAACAGCTGGGTTTACATAGTGTTTCCACATAGTTTACTTTGGCACAGAGCCAGATTTGCATAACTTTTCCATTATGTTTGTATGATAAATGAAGAGAAGTGGTAAGGGTGACTTCAAGGAGTAGTTCTGTGACTTCCTTCACATGTGTTTTAAAGGGTCTTTTTAAGAGAGTTGAAGATTATAAGCTAGTTTAAACAACTTCTAAGTGCAAGGGAAAAAATGAAGATTAGTTATTTTATCAGAATGTCTCACATACAGGCACATTTTGATTATAGTCCTGGCCTGCACTGCTTCACAAGTAGCCTTTGGAACTTTATACATTACAGGCAGTGACTTACTGGTAATTAGCCACCATTACTTTGAGACAAACCAATAAAAGTCAGGAAATTTAAAATGCACCTTATCTATCAACAAAAATCCCAGTGGGTTACATCTCCTACCACAAAAGAACTCACAGGGGAAGAAGACCTACTCTGGAAACTCAGCAAGGACCAGTAAATGTCTCATGAAATTGTACAGCCTCTCCACACAGGAAGGGAGTGAGATGTGTTAGAACTCAAGGACCAGTGTGGAAAGGAAAAGACTAAAGTGTACATCTAAGACACCTTTCTCCCTAAGGGCTGACCAGGTCCTTTAGCTTAGCAGAATTCTTTGTGGCTGAACATCTCTAGTGGAGTTAATGCTAGTAAAGAGAGTTAATATTAGTAACAGCAGGGATGTCCCAGAAATATTAAAGAATGATCATGTTCAGAGGATACCTATATCCAATTATTGTCTCACCCTGCACCCATCCCCCTGCACTTTGCCCTCATCTCTGTATTTGTGTCCACACAGACTTTTTTGTGGAAGGGCTCCATGGAAAATGACCAAAGAACAGAGAATATAGTGACAACAAAGATCTCCCTCAGACTATGTAAAATTAACAATGTAAAAAAAAGATAAAACTAGGAGTCTTTTATTTAAATGTACTTTTGGGGTTTTTTAATCTATTTAATATTAAATTTGAAGTTGACAACCAATATTAAGGTCCAAATTTACTGTAATTTATTAACATAAATTAAATAAAAATATGGAGCAGTATATGTCAAGAAACTCAAGCCACTAAGCTAGTAGAAGGCACTAAGCTAATCACTTAAAGCCTGAATTTGATGGCAGTTTTGCTGTCTGTTTGCTGTTCTCCTGGTCTCTCTCCTCCTATTTCACTGACCTTCAGGCTGTCTTTAGATTTTTTTGAAAACTTAGATTGGCCCATTGAGTCAAGGTGAGTGCCTTATTTAGGGCACACAACATGCAAAAAAAATACAGTATCATTCATTTATGTTCATATAGTTGTGGTGTATACTTCCAATCAGTTGCATTTTGTACAGGCTTTATTTCACATGTTTAACATGTTCTGTTCTGCGTTGTTGCATATTTTTTCCTAATGAACCTTGCCTTTGGGACCTCCCCATAGACTTCCTTTTTTTTTTTTAAATAAGTCTTTTACTTATATACACACACATGCACACACACGGACGCACACGCGCGCGCGCGCACACACCCACCACCCCTGTGTTCTATGAAGTCATTCTTGACTGTTTCTGTTGAGTGACTATATAACGATTGAAGTCCAAACAGCTGTTTTAGTCCTTCTAGGAATTCTGTTTTTAGAGTCATTGGTCCATTCTGCAAACATTCATTAAAAAATCCTTTAAATGTTTTTCTGTGCTTTAAGACATAAACATTTAAACACATACAGTACTTAGCTTTGTTAATATGAATAGTCTACACGTTTCAGTTGGACTGCTCACATGATCAAAACTTGTGAATTCAAATTGAGGCCTTTCTCTATAAACTGCAGTGGTTCCTTTGATAGAACACTGTATAGACCAAAAAGTAGCCTTTAAATTATATTATGTCGCGGTGTTGAGCTGTCCATGGTAGTCTTCCATCGACCTACAAATCTGTTTTGTTTTGTGGCTGCTTTGCCCAAGGAGTGATGACTTTCAATATTTTTTCTCAGTGAGCAATTTAAATTGACCTTCCTGTTGCCCAGTGCCAAGAAATGCAGCAGAGTCGTGTTCCAAGGCACTCTATGTTGACCATTTCCTTCTTATTGGAAGTTTGTTCTTCATCACAGTCCACTGATGTGGCCTTTTGGATCCCTTCAGACCTGTACTGATACCAATACCAATACCAGTCTGTACCAGTCAGAGAAAGGTGGATACCTCAACAGCAGTATCAAGTTGCCCCCCACTGTGGCAGTTGATGAATAAAGTTATATAGAACTTCTGAATTTCTTACTGGAAACTGGAATGGCATACACAGAGAGTAATAACTTCAGGGAAGGAATAAGCAGCAGGAACAGATATCCTGAAACAAAGAGCCTGTAAATCTTATTATTAAAAAAAGAGGAACTGAAAGGATAAAAATAAAGTCCAGTGTTTTTAAAAGGGGTATTTTCAGGTGTCACTCCAATAACTAGTGTACCAAGAAGTTCAGTGAGTAATGTGTGTTATTTGCCAGTTAGTAGAGGTCTTCACAATAGTTTAGATAAAAAAGCAATACATAATTTTAGGTGAGATCACATGATTTGACTTAGTCTCTTAGAGAAAATATTCCAATAGATCTTTTATATAAATGTGGGTATGGTATACTCCAGATCTTTTACAGTACAGAAGTAACTTTGATCATAAAGATGACAAGCCTAGAAAAGAACAAAATTATTGTATTTTTTGCTTATGAGGATTTATTGCTGGTTTATGAACAGCTATACTTGGCATTTCAGAGCCATCTTATATGTAGAGATCAGTAGGTGAGTTAATAGGAACAAAATCTGAGTTCCGTTTTTTATTTTTAGGTTACCAGCCTCTGACTTTCAGTTCAATGTCTTTTTTTATAAAATATGATCCTCATTTTAGATCCAAATTTACCTGTTCCACATATTATGCTGTGACCTTACTTTGTGTTATTATAAATCATGGATATCATAAATGCTGAAATATGAAACATAAGTTTCATGCAGTATTTATAGTGCTCTTGCCATTCCCCTTCTCCTCATATTGACCTGTAGTGATTTTTCAATCCTAAAAATGAAGAAAATGGTGAAGTTATGAAACCCTGTCTCTTGGTGTTTTTTCCATCTAGTAGAACCTGGGAAACAGAGCTAACACTTAAAGAAAACATGTACTTGTTCTAACCAAGACTGAGTTTTGGATGCGATCTGGCATGTGCAGACATAACATTTATACTAGCATAATCATGCAAAATAGTAGAGGATAGTTGACACAGACCCAGTTAAGATAATCTAATGGAGAATTACCCATGAAAGAATCAAGGGTAAAATGTTACCAGTATAAATTATACTGGCTTAAGTTTCTTCCATCTACATCCATCCAGGGGTAGTCATTTGTTATGGCAAATAAGGTCTTACATGTTCCCCCGTCTTCTAGCAATGAGTCACTGTAATAGTCACTGTGCTAACTATCCCAGGTGATCTGGATTCTGGATTTTTTATCTCAATGTCATTTACTTCAGTATACGAAGGCATATCCACCAGGTTAAACATATATCTTTGGTCTCCTACTCTGAAGTAAAGCTAAATCTTGAGAGTGAGAAGCCAGCTCAGAGATCCTGTTAAGAGATTGCTTTATCAGGTGTTGAGGTAGGTTTTGTGAATTTAGATCCTGCAGAAAGGATCAGGTGGATAGAAAGTGAGACTGAAATATTCTTGATACAGAGCACTGACAGCAGAAATAGTTAGATGGCAAGATTAATCAGACAGTCCCCCTCAGCTGTCATACACATGAAGGGACAACCATAAGGGTGAGAATATTTACATTCAACCCTTAATATATCTATTGAAGCTTTCCACTAGAAGCTAGGCTGAAACTAAGCAAACTCATTTCACACAGGCAAGCAGGCAGCCATCAGGTAAAAAAAACTAGTCTTTGGGCACGCCTACATGTTCATTAACACACCATAATTGCAGCACATTAAGTTTAGTACCTGTAATGACAGGTACTTAACTTAATGCACAGTAATTGGCACTATGGCACATTAGCACAAATGAACACTTTTTTAGTGATGTTAATGCACATTAGATTAAATCTAGTGCATGTTTGCTCATTAGCATGTGTTTTGCCCTCCATGCTAATGCGCAGTAGAATTATTCTTCTGTGTATTAAGCATCTCGTGTAGATGTGCCCTTTGATACTAACCTGGGCTAGACTAATACTTAATGATAGAAAGGATTCTGGCTGTATATCCCAATACTGATTCCCCCTCCTGTCTAATCTCTCCATCTAAATTAAAAGAAGAAAGAGCAAAATATTTGGTACCATTTTAAAATACTAGGTATAACTAATTTTGATAAGATGTGTCTCCATCATTAATGTTTACAGCTGACAGAGAAATACGTAAAGTACTCTCTGGAAAATGATTACCCTATTGAACTCAATGAACTCAAACTTTTACCACTTTAGACAAATTTTCTAAGTCAGGCATGATTATATAGTTGTACTTCCAAAGAAGAATGAGATATTTGGTTATAGCAGTGAATGAGATACCAATTTTTTTTCTTTTACAGAACATAGGAAACTTGGCAATCTGACTGTGACAGTGAAAAAGGCCGTCCCTTCTCCAGAAGCCCTCCAGATTCTCTACCAGCGCATGAGATATGAATATGAATTTTACTACTACGTCAAAGAGCAGTTCCACCTGCTAAAGCGCAAGTTTGGACTTAAATCTCATGTCAATAAGCTACATCCCAGACCAGAATTTTTTATTCCTTCTCCTCTGGAAACTGAAGAACCAATAGATGAAGAGGAGGAAGATGATGAAAAATGGCTAGAGGATATCTATAAAAGGTGATAGAAGCACCAGGCTTTTCTCCGGTGACCCCTTCAGCTTTCTTAAGATTTTTTTATTATTAAAAATAATTCCTTAAGGAACTGGGTTAATGCGCAGAAGCATTTAAAATAAAACAAGCAAACATTCCCACATGTTGGGGTGATTGGAAAATACCCGGTTTTGCGGGTGTTATTTGTTTAGATTTATTATACTTTCCTTGGCTCAGTATGATCCCAGGTAAGAAATAATTTAAGACAGAACCATCTATTTTCTCGTCACAAAATAACTTTTGCAGTGTATAGTATTGCTTTATACACTGCCCCTTCGCAAAATACTAGCAGAAGTGTGGATCACATTAGACATCATTTACAAAGTAACTGTCATAAAATCTCTCTCAGTAATAAGTCTTAATACCATGCCTATTGTTACTGCATTGAGTACAAATGGTAACAATAGCTCTAATCATATGACAGCATTTTAGGTTCAAAGTGTATTGGATTAAAAACAAATTAAGTAGTCACTCCTGAGCAGGCTTCAGTAGGAAGAGTACAATCTGGTCTTCTAGCAAAGTGTATTCATGGAGAGAAACCATTAAAGAATCCTGCTAACTAGAAAAGCACAAAGAAACAACAGAGTGAGCAGATATACCAGTGGAGCTGATTGATATGGCTGGATGAAAAGCCAAGGAGATGGCATCATGCAAATTTGGTAATTTTGGTTCTGCAGCTGAAAGTGTTGCTTTAAAGGGAAAAGTTCAGCACATTGTCTTTATCCTAAAGGAAATAAATTGTATACTGTTACCATACCTATACTGAGACACAGACTTAAAATGACATGAGACAGGTATTCATATGAGGAGCTAAAAATGATGTGTATCTTCTTCCTTTAGCATAAGCAACATTTCTGTGGCTATAATTTTTATAAATCTCTACATTTAAAACAAGTAACAGAATTACAGTGCAACATAAGTAATGATGGTCTAAAAGTATGGCTGGATGGGACTTCAGGAGGTCATCTAATCCAATCCCCTGCTCAAGACAGGATCATCCCAGTCTAAACCATTCAAGTCAAGTGTTTACCTAACCTGCTCTTGAAAACTTCCAGCCTTCTAGGTAACCTGTTCCAGTGTTTATGCACCTTCATATTAAGAAAATTCTTCCTAATATCTAAACTAAATTTCCCTTGCTGCAGTTTAAAACCATTGTTCTTTGTCCTAGCCCCTGCAGCCACAGAAGATAGATTATCGCCCTCAGATTTATAATCACTCTTCAAGTATTTGAAAACTGTTGTCAAATCCCACATCAGCCTTTCATCCTCTAAACTAAATTATTCTTGTTATTTTGGCCTTTCCTCAAAAGTGATGTTTCCAGACCTTTTCTCATTTTTGTGGTCCTCTGCTGGACTCTTTAATTTGCCCATGTCTTTCTTGAAGTGCTGTGCCCCAAACTGGTCATGGTACTCCAGCAGAAGTTTCACTTCTCTTGACTTGCAAATAACATTTCTGTTAATACAACCCAGCATGCTATTGGCTTGTTTACAACAAGAGCACACTGTAGACCCTAAGTCCTTTCTGACAGTACTGCAACTTAGCCGGTCATTTTTTGGTTCATATCTGTGCATACAATTGCTTTTTCCCAAGTGCAGGACTTTGCACTGTCCTCACTTAGTTTTATTAGATTAATTTTGGACCATTTCTCCAGTTTATTGAGATTAATTTGAATCCTTATCCTATCCTCCAAATTGTCTGCACCTCCACACAGCTTGGAGTCATCCACAAATGTGTGCACTCAGTCCCATCCCTTACATCATTAATGACTATACTGGTCCCTGGGGACCCCCACTTTGATACTTCCTTCCAACTAATCAGGCTCATCAAACCAGTGATGATTATTCTTTTATAACAGTGATCCAACCAGTAATATAGCTACTTTAAAATACTTTCAGACAGACTATACTTTCTTAGCTTCTTTATCTTGAGAGGTCTGATTATACATCTTACGTATCACATAATAATAAAATAAAACAATGGGAAAAATAATATCCATATAGCAGTAAAAAACAAAATTAAATAATATGTTGTTAGACATTGTGCATACATTGGAAAACATTGTGACTAAGTACAGACAGTCAAGAAGCCCGAGGCTGAATCGATTCAGTCTTTGCAGGTTAGTCTAAATTGCAGAGATTCGATTGAGAAACAACTAGACAGACATTCACTTTTGATTCAGAAAATGCAGCCACATGTCTGCAGTGTCTCAGGCCAGAAGCCGGAGGGTGCTTAGAGCATGGCTTTCTGGCACGCAGCCAGCCTGGGCTGTACGTTTGCTTCATCTTTCTCCTGCCCCTGAGGTCTCTGGGATCTACATTCCATAATTACAGTAGTAGGACTCTGCAGAGTTGCTCATCACTTCCTCTTCCTGCTTCCAGATGCCTCTGGGATTTATAGTCCACAGTCACTGCCAGCAGTAAGTTTAGCAGAGCAGGGCAGCTTTGTACTCAGGGGAAGGGAAGTTTAATGCCCCCCCTCCCTGGTCCCAGACTCCAGTTGGAGTTTGCCTAGGGGAGACGGTCCCTGTCTCCCACTCCCTCCCCGCTTCTCTGCTGGATCAGACAGCACAGCCCAGGCCAGGGCTGCAAAGCATGCTGGGATGCTGGGGGACTATGATTTAACTTGAACCAGGAAGGGGTCTGGGACAGAAGTTTCATAAACTGTTTAACCCAAATCAGTTAAGTCTGATACTGCATTCAGTCAGGTTTATCTTTAAACTAGTTTAGCTATTTTGAAACTGGTTGATGAGCACTTAACTTCCATTCTGTTACAGGTTTAAACCAGTTTCTGATCATTTAAACCAGTTTATGTGTAACTTCTGTCTGTAGCCTGTGAGAGTTTAGCATTAGTCGCAGCAGTAAGATGAAGAAACACCAGAAAGTGGACTGAGCAGTGCTAGATGAAATGGGAATGGCTCCAGTAAGTAGCATATTTAAGGTACCCCATTGATTTCTGGCAATTTTTGTAAGGTTATGAGCTAGATTGTTACCTGGACTGTGACCATACAAGGGAGCAAGTACGTTTCATGCACTCTAAAGCAGAAAACTCAAATCTTGGGTCCATGCACATAGGAATAACTAGAGCTACTCATCTATACAGTCCCTCCTTTGAGCCAATGTGTGGGGAATGGATGGTACTTTGGCTTCATGTGCATATTTGCTAACCAGAGTAGATGACCCAGTACAAGGTCAGCAGTAGGAAGCTACTATAAGGAAGAAATAGAAGAGGAATTGTGACTCAGAAGGGTGTGTCCCAGTTAAGATGTCTCCAAGCATCACTTCTGGGGTGATGCAACTTGGGCACCATACCTTGAACAGGGCTATGCCTAAATTCCTGAACTTTTCATGGCAGTTTTTGCTTCTTCCTTTTGGTGGTTGCTTTAGAGGAGTTCTACTACATGGATGTTGTCAGCCAAATGGTCCTTCATTTTGAACTAAAAAAGCAAAAGTTATTTTGTGATTGATGAGGCGTGCATACTGGGCCAAGCTCTGAGGGGCTTTTCGTCCTCCGTGAGCCTGCAAGGAGCCAATAAATGTGGTGGACCATCTTGATCAACCAATCAGTCTATAATGTACTCAGTTGCAGAGAATGGAAATAAAGAAGTGAAATCATATTAAGACAAGATGATGATCTACAAAAAACATACCTGGAGGGACTTTATTCTCACGTCTCACATCCCCGCTTTGTGGCACCAATGTACTACCATGAAGAAACAAATTAAAGAAAGCTGGAAATGGCATAGAGAACAACTAACATAGTAGCTAAAATATGAATCTGCTACATTGTACATTTTAAGTGGTTTCTATGAAATTACATTGAAAGAGTAATGATTAGTTTACACACTGTGGAATTGTTGTTATATTTTGGAAAGAAAATTAATATTCTCACCTTTTAAAAGTTGTTTGAATTTTTTTGCCAGTGTCATGATGCAATAATCAGTCATTTAACACATTCACCCTTCCTGCAAGTTCATTGCCGCTTACTGTAGAGTCTATTTTTATCTGTTTATTTAATGGTATTTTCATTCACCGTTACTTATAACCTAAATACAAAACTGTTAAATGATTTGTTCGCTAGGTTTTCATGTTGTTATATTTTTCCTAACAATCAACCTGGCCTCTTCTCATTGAATGGTACTTCATAACTTTTTTTGGCACATATGCTTTTAAGATTCCTGGTCTTACAGCCCATTTGTATGTCATGAAATATATTATATATTTTACTTAAATGTTTAAAAGTACATTTTAAGCTGGTTAACCTTTGATTTATTTATTATAAATTTTCAGCACATTCCAAATTCTAAGTTGCTCAGGAAGAAGTCGATTTAAATGATGTTATTTTGGTCTGATGGATATTTCTTGTTCAAAAACAAAAATCACTGTTTGTAAGCCTTCAGGCAACAACAGCATTGTAGGAAGTGCCGTATATGTACTTGTAAATCTTTTTGTGGGGCAAAAAGTTGGGTGCTTGGCATTTATGAAAATAAGAAAACATATATGTACATTTAGCTTAGCTTTAAATGGAAACAATGTATGGTTTGAGATGAAATATTCTTTAATTTATTCACTACCCTCTCTTAGATCCTAAAATATAAACAAGCCATATGTTTCTTTATTTTTAGTCCAAAAATAAAACGTATAGAGTTCTTCACAGCACCATAATCTATTTGGTTACCCACATTTTCCTTGTCTGGATATAATGTCCATAGGTGGCACTTTATCTGGAATCTCACCCAGTAGAACAGTATGTTACACAGCATGGTGTATTATCTAAAGGCCATACTTCAGCAGAGAGATTCAGGCAGGATGTTTCTGGGTGTTTACTCTACCCCTGAATAGTCTTGAGGCCAAAGGCCAAGTTACTTAACCACCTGAAAAGTGCAGTAAATACCCAGAAATGCACTGTCTGGTGAACTTTATTGCTGTTACATAGAATTTATTTTTTTGCCTAAGGGAAACAGCTTATGACCCATGTACTGCATTTCACTAGACATTATAGACATGGGTAAAATGCTATTTTATAGCCAAGCTAAAAAGTTTCTATGTTCAAAGCCATTTCATAATGTAATAGTGAATTCACACTAAAGAAAAAATTAATCATTGTTATAGTGCAGCATTCTGGAAAAATAAATTTTAGCTCTAAACCTCAAATGACAATGATAAATGTTGCATTTTTGTTATTTCTCTAATATATAAACTGTTCTAATGAGACTTGTCTAAGTTGAAAAATCTAAAATGTACTCACAGTAAGAGTACTAGTGTAGCAAAACTGAATGCATAGATAATGAATGGTACAATTGAAGTCCTTTGGACAGAAGTTCGTTAGTCTTTTTCTTACCTGGTATTTGTAATAAATTGCTTGGGTTTTGTTGTATAGTTTGGTAATCAGTGCCATGAAAATATTAAGCAGAACGATGATCTTTGACCATTGGAATATAGATTTGCTTTGCTTATTCTAGTTGTTAAAAGCCATTGAAGTCTGACTCTTACCAATATTTATTGCAGTAAAGCTAACTTCAGTGGAAGGATGCAACTTTTTTACTGATGAGGGAGATCACGTTGAATGGCATTTTGGTCACTCCCCCTTCCCTCCCCATCCACCCCCCCAAAAAAAATCAGCAGCTGATGGCCACCAGAAAGTACATCTGGAAAAAAAATAATACTATACAAAATAAAGACCTGTAATTTACGACTACAGATGAATGGTACTTTGTGTCTTTCCTTAATTAAAAATGGAATTTTGCAATATTCCATAGCAGTAACCCAGAACACTGCACTACTGTTATTGTAAGATGACATGTTTAGGATCATTGACATAATACACTGATATTCACTCTATTTAACTTTTATAGGGATTGACTTTGTGTGCAAGGAGTTCAGCAAATCTAGAAAAGGTAGATTATCATCTAGTTTGCATAAACAGTTAACCAAAGCAAGAAGTCAACAGTGTTGTCCATAAACTGCCATTAGTCAATCCCATGAGGATTGATTTTAAGGAGTTTATAGTTTTAGGGCCCAAAGATGGAAGCTACCACCAAGTGGACCATTCTTACAGATATACTTTGATTTGAGTAGTCAGCATTTACATGACTAGACTTTGCTCAGTCGTATATCACACTAGAAAGCAGTTCAGTGAGAAACAGCCATTAAAGACAAAAAGCTGCAAAATGTTAAAAATGGTAATGCTTATTTTGAAGATTGTAAAATCAGCACAATATCATTTTCTGGTCATGTCTCGCATATAACTCAAAAGCTGTTCAATGTCTGTTCTTCAAATTGTTAAAAAAAATGCATTTGCTACATGCCAAATAGCAGCATGAAGTGAATTTTTATAGCTCATGTATAACTTCCTGAAAGTAGGGCTTTCAAGGGGTTATACAGGGCTGCACAATGGAAATGCTGACACACCTCAAATTCAGTCTACCAGCATTAATGTGCCACAGCATGGTACTTTGAGGGCTCTAGACTGGCTTTTTTTGATGAACATGTGCATTCCTCTTCTCCCACATGTCTCTCCTCAGTAGCTGGCAGCACAGAGGCATCTGGCCACATGCTGTGCTTCCCCAGGAACAGCCAGAATCACTATCAAGCATTAGTCAAGTGGTGAGATTTGACAAATGGTATATTTAAATGTGGATTTTAAGTGTAAACATGTGGATTTCCTTTTCTGAATATATGTCTTTTTTCTTTGTATTTAAGTTATTGCAGGTAAATTTAGCTGTCGTGAAAGAAGAACTAACAGCATTGGCTTTAGCCAGGCTTGATGGAAGCAGGTGTTTTGCAAACTTTAGTCCTTTCCAGCTGCCCTCCTTCCCTGTCTGGATGTCTTTTGGGTAAAAATCCTAGTTACAGTGAATTGTACCAAACTGTATGATGGTTTGTGCAGGGAAGAAACAAAGACTAGGATAAACCCAGGAGGCAGTCTAGTGACACGAGCAAAATCCTGAGAACTAAGCTGATACAGAGAGTAAAAATGCCATAAGGCCTGTTACGCAAACCATTGTCCTTATGTCATTTAAAAGTGGATAAAGCTGGACCGTGTGTTGAAATGAGCTTTTTTTTTTTTTCTTTACTGTACTACGTGCTTTAAAACTGCCTAACTGTCTAAGAAACATTACAAAATACCTGCATAAAGAGACAGCCTTCACCTGTGAATAATGCCCAAGATTTGCTTAGATTCATAGACATCATTCAATAATATATATCTACCCACATTAATCTTTGGTAGCACCAACCTATTATCTCCACATTTGGTGCTATTAGCAGTGCTAAAACAGATTGCTGAGCATTAAGTAGATTAGTTAAAGTTTGCAGAACACTTCCAAACTTGAAAGATTCCCATACCATGTTAAAGTATTGGATGATGATGATGAAGAATAGCAAGCTTTGTTTCCTACCAAGCCAAGCTGATGGAAAAGAGTTCCTTTCATCTCAAAGAAGTCTTGATTCTCCACAACTTGGATTCAATGGAGAGGAGTTTTCAAAAGAGGGACTACTCACAAACTAAAGGAAGAGTTTTAAAAACTGGTGCTTAAAATGATTAGGACTAGATTATGGGGGGAGGAGATTTTCCAAGGTATAAATGGCATTTAAGGCATTTGTTCTCCTATTGAACGTCAATGAAAAAGTTTGTTTTTTTACTTTAATTTTCTTCACCCGTTTTGCATAAAGGTAAATCAAATTTTAAACTGTACTTGGTAGATTTCCCAAGATCATTCCCCATAGGGCAGCTCTGTGGTGCCCACTACCACAGTACCTGAGCACCTCACAGCACTCAGTTGTCTCGGACGGCCAGAGCCAACTCGAGTTGCGTTAGAAATTGGTCGTACGTTAGGGCGGGCTGGTGAATGGAGAGGCAGACACAACTTATTGGTTGCAAAAAACTTTACTCACGCCACTTGCAATCACGACGCAGGTGGTCCGGTCGTCTGAACAGCCACACGAGTTGTTCCAGCTGGCGGGGCCCAAGCCAGTTAATCCGTCTGCAGTTCGAAGCCGGCGGGGAAAGGGGTACGTCTGGGGTTGCGCTCGGCGACGGGAAGAAAGATCGATAGCAGCCGCAAGTCAGATAACTTCAGAGGCACTCTGCAGCGTGCTCAAAGCTCTTCGACTTGGGCGGAATTGGGCCGGAATTTAAACCGGCCAGTGAGCCAATTACTAGCCGCCACGTGTGAATAATTTAGCACTGGCCAATAGCGGGGCACAAATTTACATTCGAATAGCGGGAACTCTTTGCACTGTGCATTTCTGTGCTGCAAAGAAGAAATGCATCCTGCAAAGGAAACTGCAAATTGGCGGGAACTCTCTCCTACACGCGGGCTCTCAATTGCAGCAGAACACTCTGCTGTGCAAAGGAGCTCTCATGTGGCCAAGAAATTCCATAGTGCCAAGGCACAAAAATCACTGGGTTGTGACACCAGTGAGGCAAGGAAGTGTGATTACAGGCCGTCCTCAGACTTACGATACAATTGGTTCCTGAAAACTGTCTTAAGTCAAAACATTGTAACTTGGAACTGATTTTCCCATAGGAAACAATGTTATAAATGGGAGATTGGTTCCTGAACCAAGGCCAAATACCCTATTTTCATCAAAAATAACCAAGAACGTTGTACTCAATCAATTAAAGATGAGTAATATAGCTACATTAATGTATTTATACTGTAAATAGAAATCATATTGATTTGGAAGGAGGTAGCTTTGCTGGACTTTTTGAAGGGTTCTTGGGTGGAGTCCTGGCTGCAGGTTTTTCTGGAGCCTTGGCTGCTTTCTTAAAGAAAGTGTCCAAGGAAGTTTGGACAGATGTTCTCCAGGGAGATGGGCAATGCAGCAGACTTGTTCACTGGTGTGGCGTTGCATCAGATCAAGCATTGTAAAGTTGAAACTGATGTCAGGAAGTTGAAACAGGGTGTCGATTTATAAACATTGTAAGTGCAAAACGTAACTCGAAATGTTGTAAGTTGAGGACTGCCTGTATTCCCGTTTTATCTGAACTCTGCCACTTAGATACCTGAATCAAGATTATACTGCAGGCAACTCCATCTACTCAATTTCTTGCATACCCAGCACTGTGCTGAGAGTAGGCACCTAACTGAGCAGAGTCCAACCCTTTTAAAGCACAGCTGGAGGAGGAAGTGGACATGGTGATAATCCAGGTAACAGCCTGGTGATTCCATCCATTCATATACAAAGTGGGAGACTGGTTTCTAAGCTTCTTCAGCCCGAGGGGTTTCAAACTCACATCTTCCACCTCCCGCAATAAATAGCAGGCCAGAGAATAGCCTAGACAGAGGCTTTCTTCATCCCTCCTGGTAAAGCTATACATCTAAGAATGCAAGAATCATTGGTCCAGAAAGAAGACAAGCACAAAAGAGCCTGACTCTGTTAACAAGTGGTTAGGGCACTCAGGATTGGAGTTGGGACTGGAGGGAAGGACCTAGTTTTCAGTTCCTGTTCTCTCGTTTATTTTTGTTTTTCATCCAGTGACATCCACGTTAAAATACATAAACAATCCAGGGAGCAGAACCCAGGACCCAGGTGTGCCACAGCCCGGTTGTCAATTATATTTGCAACTTACAATGACCATGTGTCCCTCAGTTGGACTCATTATTCATATATAAATACTATATTTACTCAAATAGACCCTGATTATAAGACAATACCATACTAATTAGATTCTGTATATGGAAAATTTATATTTTTTTATAATTTTCCAGGTATAGAACCTAATTATTGGGGGACTGAGTTGAATTTGTCCTCCCACTGTTACAGCAGAAAAAATTAATTTTCTGGGCTCAAGTAGCTCTTTGTTCTCTGCTTCCCTCCAATTCTTCTCCTGCCAGCCCCTTCCCCTTCTCCTTACTGTCAGACCCTGCTCCCCTGAGCACATGAAATGAGAAGCACATTTGAAAACAATACCCTTGAAATAACCATACTTGGCTCTGGCCCCACTAGAGTCTCCAACAATTCAAGCCATGATGATGCCCTAGCTCAGCAATGCTGTGTGTGTACTCCAGATATCCCCCCCACAAAGTATCCATGTGCTAATTAGCCCCACTCATGGTTGAAATCAGGTGTTCTTGTCATAAGTCCTGGGGTGCTCCAAAAATTTATATGCACGTGAGGTGCAGAGCAACCTGCCCCAGCTTCACCTTGTGGAAGGTGGGACCACACTAATCATATGCACCAGGCTGAGAGCGGGGGTGAAAGAGGGATTCTGGGTGAATTGTATACTTGCCCACTCTCCTTTGGTTTGTACTTTCTGCTGCCCTCTGGGGATGGTGCAGTGCAGTGGGAAGGGGCCAGACTGCTCAAGCTGTATGCAAGGAAAGCAGGTGCTGGACTGCCTGCCCAGTGGGGGCCACCCACATGGAGAGTGGTACTCAGTCTGTGGCCCATGCAGCCCCTGGCAACTCTGTGATTGGACAGACCTGAGGTAGGCCATACAATTGAGTCTCAGACTGCATTTGTAGCTTCTGGACAGTATCTTGCAGATGAATGAAGGAACATGGACATAAACTAAAATCCTGCACCCTGGGCACCGAGCAATTTATGGATGGAAAATATGGCAGTTGAACTCAGATCTAAACTTCAGCATTAGAGCCAGGCTTGCCTGGACTGAAAACCATCTCCTGAATCTCAACTTTTTATGTGTCCAAAACTTGGTTGCAGGTCCAAATGTTGGTCACAGGCCTGTATCTGATGTAATGCTGGAATGAATATCTGAAACCAAATCCATCCCTTTGGCTGTAGACAGAGGCCAACTATGCACCCATGCACTGCCAGGTAAGCATGTGAGGGAAGGGTGGGCAATTATTTGGGCTAGAGGACCACTTACGGAGTTTTGGTGAGCTGTTGCAAACCAGGTCAGTCCCGCCCCCCCTCTCCCACAGTAGCTCACCAAAACTGATCACTGGAGCCATCCAGGGGTGCCGGACAGAGCAGCTGGGCGGGATGTCCATAGAGACCAGCCCAGGACACCCACAGGCTGGCTGTGTTTGGGCTAATGAGATAGGGCTGCAGGTGGGCACGGAGTGGCATCCAGGAGCAAGACAGGCAGGCAGGAGTGGGGCTGGGATTGCTGGGTGGTGACAGCGTGGGGCCAGACCCCATGCCAGAGCCACAATCCACTCCCAGCACAGCCCCATGCTGTCACTGCCCTGTGATCCCAGCCACACCCATCCCACTCCCAGATACCACTCCCCACCCACCTGCAGCCCCATCCCATCTGCCTGGCTGAGCATGACCTGCCCACGAGGCTTTTGGACTGGTCTCACCCTCCCACCTGCTCCATCTAGTGCCCCCAGCGTTTGCCCACCCAGTGGGGCCAGGTTCAGTGGTGGCAGTGACACTGGAAGTGGCAACCAGGAGCTGCCACTGCCCAGGCTGCCAGGAAGCGGAGTTGAGTTGCTGTGCTTGGGGACAGACAGGACCAACCATATGCACCGTGGCCCAGGTTGCCCCCCGCATCGGCCAGGCAGGGCAGAGGTATCAGCCATAGGATGGATAAAATCCCTTGGTGGGCCAGATTCAGCCCACGGGCCATATTTTTTCCACCCCTGATGTAAGGGGAAGGGGAAAGGAGCCTTGGCAATATGCATCCCTTACTTTGAGCACACAAGCAGCCTGTGTTGTGATATTGGTATTTGTGGCTGGGGAAAAAAAGAGAATGGGCTTTCCAATAGGACTTAACTTACAGACATTCTTACCATACATGTCTTGGACATGTTCATGCTGGACTACATGAGGGAAAACCCTCTCGTGCCCTTCTTTACTCAAGGTGGGAGTAGGGTGCTGCTGGAGTAAGACCAACAGAAGCACAGCTTTCAAGGGATCTGGGAGGGTATGAATAGTAGGGAAAAGCAGAAATATTCAGCCTGTTCATAGATGCACTGAGATCTGTGCAATTTCCCTCCATATCTTGGCACATCTGTGCGGTCAGAAAGCCACGTTGCCTCTGGGGACATGGAAACACCACTCCACACAAAGGGATGATTTGTCAGACATTCTTGTGTGAAAAACCTCTGAATTTTTC